TAGATAGATAGATAGATAGATAGATAGATAGATAGATAGATAGATAGATAGATAGATAGATAGATAGATAGATAGATAGATAGATAGATAGATAGATAGATAGATAGATAGATAGATAGATGTAGATGTAGATGTAGATGTAGATGTAGATGTAGATGTAGATGTAGATGTAGATATTCATGTGTGTATTACTAGAGCACCAAGAATTCCCCATTTCCATCCATCCATCCATCCATCCATCCATCCATCCATCCATCCATTTTTACCAAAGCTCCAAATGTCTCTATGTTCATGGCCACTAGCTGTACAGATTCAGAAATTATGGAAATAGTAGTTAAAAATGTAAGAATAACAAACTGTGCTTACTTAATGTTAACGCCAGCTCTAAACCACCAACACACACACATAAACATACATATGGCAAATAACTTGTTGGCTTCTCTATATTCTTACCTTTCTCCCATCAGTAGTATATAGTTTCACAACAGGATACTGCATTAATTCACTGATGTGGTCCAGAAAGGCCTCAAAGCTTTGTGTGTTCTTCTTACCTAAGACAACAGCGCGTCGGATTCTTACATTGCCATTTTTGAAAACAAGCAACTTCTTAGAGGTACTTGATCTGACAGCACTCCCCTTTTGGAACATGCTGCTTTCTCCTTCTCTAGCTAACTGTACAGCCCTCCGGCGAGCACTGATGGGCCTGCTGTTCTGCCATGGCAATGGCTTTTTTTTGGCCATTTCCAGGTTAATGGGCTTGACTTTCCTCTGCTGGGAACAGATGTAGGACTTTCCATCTTCAAGGTCTTCCAGATTACTGATGCTGTGTATCCCTCGTGGTGTGGTGATATTCCTCACTCCAAAAGGCAGGGGGACTCTTTTGGATAAGTTGTCAAGCAAGGCGTCAAATGACTTGAAAGACCGGCTGTTGACAACCATTTTCACCCCATTAAATTGAGGATCTCCACTTTTGTAAAAACAGACCCGTTTGGCCACAACTGGTTCTGTGACATTGAAAGGCCGCACGGACAAAGACTGTTCACTCCCCGAAGTGTGGGGCTGGATCACTGAATAGTTGGTTGATGGTGTTTCAGTCATTTTGACGGCAATCTAGAAATAAGGAGGTAGAAGTAAATGCTCTCTCTTATGATCACAACAATAATGCAGTCCTCATTTCTGTGAAGTCACAAAGGAGATTTTAACAAAAGCAACAGCAGTAAATCTTGCCAAAAATCAATGGCTTAAATAGGTCCATGCTGTTATCTCTAAATTCCACAACGACTGGTAGGATTAAGCTAACAAAGCTTTACTTGCAAATATGTGCAGAATTCTCCAATGTATTTTCACATATCTTATCATTTTGGTACAACAGAACATTTTACTTAGCAAAGGTAACGATGTCATACCAGAATATTAATTAGATTTTTTTTTCTCCAGTCGTGAATGCAGTGGCAACATATCCTATTTTTACTTTCTACAGACCTCCATATAGAAGAGTGTTTTGGTCCATGAGTGACACAACCAGCTTGTCAATGATTAACAAAAGAAAATGGGCAAAACCCAAAAGGAAATACTGGCATGTGCTTGTGTAATCCCCCTTAATTTCAGAAGAATTTGTGCAGTAGAATTTTACAGTAGAGCAAGTCTAATGATTCAGTAAGGTTTACTTTTCAATAAACACAGCAAATCAAATGATTGCAATGTTGAGCATGCTGTCTTGTACGGAGTTTATTCAGATGTAAGATCCATTAATTCAGTGGTTTATCACCCCATCAGGTAAGTGTATGCATGTGACCTTCACAAGGTATTTTTTCAGCCCCCCAGCTTTCCCGTTGTCCCTTTTTTTTCTCACAAAAGTGGTGAATTGCAGTGCTTGTTAGCCTCTAGGTGTGGCAATTCACCTTTTAAATAGGTCACATATTGCTGTTCATACAATAACACCAAAAATACTTTTTCCAAAATGAAAGTAGACTTTGACACACTTCTGCTTTTGTTTCTATGTGACAGCTGTACAAAATAGGGGTCAAACCAAAGGTTAACCACTTCCAGTGTAAAAGGATGCAACCTAACTCAACTAAGCCTTGAATCATAGAAAGGAAAGGAAGAGTGTAGACATTTTAAAATTGCACTATAACAGCTAAGTATAGTTACAAAAACAGAGTTAAATAACCCCATATGCTTCAGGACGTGACACGGTACAGAAACGGCATTGGTCGCCCTGTACGATGACCTGTTGAGGGAGGCTGACAGGGGTAAAATATCTCTGTTGGTCCTCCTCGACATCTCGGCGGCTTTTGATACTGTCAGCCACGGTATCCTCCTGGGGAGGCTCTCCAAGTTGGGAATCAATGGCCTGGTGCTTGCCTGGCTCCACCCCTTCTTGGGGGACCGATCCCAGAAAGTTCAGCTTGGGGAGAGTGTCTTAGTCCCGTGGAGTCTCAACTGTGAGGTTCCACAGGGGTCGATTATCTCCCCAATGCTGTTTAATATCTATATGAGGCCGCTGGGCGGGGTCATCAGGGGGTGTGGGGCATCGTGTCATCAGTATGCGGATGACACCCAGCTCTACATCTCCTTTCCACCTACTGCAGGTGATGCCGTTCTGTCCCTTCAGCGCTGCCTGGGGACTGTACTGAAATGGATGCAGGAAAATGGGCTGAGGCTGAACACGGACAAGACGGAGGTCCTGAGGGTGGGTGCCCCCATTGTTGGAGGCTTGGGGGACTCCCTCTCATTTGGGGGGTCTTGCTGCAAAGAGTGGGGTTCGCAGTCTGGGGATCCACCTGGACCCGGCGCTCACCATGGAGACTCAGGTGGCGTCGGTGGTCCGCACCGCCTTTTTTCATCTTTGGCGGATAGCCTGGCTGCGACCCTATCTCGATGTGGGGATGCTCACCACCTTGGTCCATGCACTCGTCATCTCGAGATTAGACCACTGTAACACACTTTACGTGGTGCTGCCTTTGAGGCTGACGCAGAACCTCCAAGTGGTGCCTAATGCAGCGGCCAGACTCCTGAGTGGAGTGAGAAAATTCCATCACATTTCTCCTATTCTGGCCACGTTGCATTGGCTACCCATTCGGTTCCACGTTGACTTCAAAGTCCCGATGCTCACGTTTAAAGCCCTAAACGGTTTAGGGCCTCGATACTTGGCGGAACGCTTACTCCCACCCAGTTCTACCCGTGTCACTCTTGCTAGTCAGGAGGTGAGGCTGAGGAATCTGATGCCGAGGGAGGCCCGGAAAGAA